CACAGTTTCAAAGTAGAGATGACAGCTCTTGACTTAAAATTTGCTTTATTGAAAACCTCCTTAATGTATATTTATATGACAGATTCTAATAGCTTATTAAATGTTTCTGTCATGAATTAATTACCAGGAAGATAAGCAGCAGATCTTCTGTACCGTATTAAATTGTGGTCACAAAAGTAATATAGTGCTTTATCATCAAATATGTAAATATCTTTGAAAAGCTTTTTCAAAATATTAATTTTTCTTTATTTACTAGGAATAACTCTATGATCTATAGATTTCAGTCATTTAACAAGTGTTAATTTATGTTTATGAGGGAGAGAGCATAGTATAAAGAAAAAGGTATAGAGACCAAATCTAGATATAAAGCTCTATCACTTTCTAGCTGTGTGATGTGGACTTGTCATTTCTGTTACTGAACCTTAATTCTGTAATCTTTCAAATGGTGATAATAATGCATCTTATGACTATTTTGAAGTAAAGCATCTGAATTATGATAGGTGTTTAATAATTGGTAGATGCTATTATAATTATGATTACAGTTCATGCACTATGTTAAGGGAAGCAAGATGACAAAGAATAGCTTCTGATCACAAAAGCTCATGGATTTCTGAGCATAATCACTTAATTCCAAGATAGGAAATAGATATGTTTAACTTTTTCAATGGCACACCTTAAATATATACTATGCCATCACAATATACAACACCCCCCACACAAACATTACTATAGAAAGAACTGATTTGTATCAAAAAGTTTATGTCCCACTCCTCTAAAGTATTTCCAAATCACTCCTCATGCACCACTTTGTCTTATTATTGGTTATGCACTAGAATTATAAATCAGCGATTATTACTACCTCAATTTTATAGCATTAAAAGAGACTAATTATATTACCAAAGATCACATGTTAATTCTGGAAGTAAGAAAACTACTTTTCTAAGGTTTTCTTACGCCTCTTTCACTACTTCAGGATAACTCACTAGAGCATTTTCTATAAAATATGACTATTTGTAATGATTCAAACCTGATTAACCAAACATGCCTAAAAACTTCATAAAGGAAAAATGTTATTGATTTGGGGTCATCCTCTTCCAAACACTGTTGATTTACAGTGCCACTTTTGAGTCTTCCTTGACAATTCACAATTCAGTACTTTAACAAACATGCAGAATCTACCATCTTTGCCTCCCCTGTCTGCTTTTGTGTGTGCTCAGAATAGAATTTAATTGTTATACTATATGGTCAAATTGACATTTTAATATTAAAATTCAATTTTTTTAAATCCTGAGGTACTAAAAACTCTCCATTAAATAGTGATGTGGCCCCTAGATTTAAGAGATGGAACATTAAAAAAAAAAAAAGAAGAAGAAGAAGAAGAAGACTTCAGGGTTCTCAGAAGATCCTAGAGTCATCTCCAAGTCATTTCCTTGGAAATATGAACTACTTAATGGCCATTTGGCTTGGCACAAACTAAAGGTCTGTTCTGTGTCACAGATTTGAATTAATGATCTTCCTAGAGACAACATGACTGACTAGAGTGGCCCAAAAAAGAATATGGGTAGTACTCTACAAAGCAGTCATTGTTACTGGAGAGAACAAATGTTCCAAATAATGTCTTTTATTGATGGTGTGATTGCTACAACTGTTATACTCAATGAATAGCATATATTTTTTTAAATGAAGAATTTTCTGAAAATTATAAAATAATTTATCAAAAGAAGAAAATGTAAGAAGAATCCAGAAATAATTCAAGTGGTAATTCACCAATAGTTAGTCTTTGTGTATTCTATTAATTTGGACATGGAATGAAGTTATAATATCATGGAATGTGTGATCCATTCTTTTGTTAAGACCACAGTCATCCTACGATGTAATTTTGATACATCAATTATCAAGTTATCAATTAGTCAAGTTAAAATGTAGCTTATCTTCAAATTTTTTAAAGGTTGTAAAGGACAGACATTTTAAGTCATGATTAAAGAGACCAAGTTTTTATATCAATATTACCATGCACTATGAACTGCAAATAAGAGAGAACTAAGAAATACCCCTGGGAATTAACACCATATGGGTAAAATAGTTTTTTAATGATGTTCAGAAATGATAAAAATTCATAGTATATTTACGTGTATTTCACAATTTTTTTTAATTCCAAAGCAAACAAAAATTTAGACACACAAAAACTTCAAGCTATGTTCTGTATTTTATAAAGGAAGCAGAAAAATTAAAAGAACAAAAGGAATACTTCCTACAAAAGGAAGTATTATAAGATTTTAATTAAGAAAATTTTAATGCCAGCCTAAAGCAGTGCTGAAATTCTGAATAAAACATGGCTACTGTAACTGGACCAGGTTTCTTTCTTTAAGAAGTTGTTTCTAATTCTGAAGCTGCATATGTGCAGGCACACGTGATGGAGACTAGAAGGGTTGCCATGGTAAGTACACATCTTTTCTTGGACAGTGAAGTATAAAAAAATATGTATAAAGAACTCTCACTTCATAATATGTCATGGAAATTGACTCTGCTTTCCCTACCACCACATATTATATGATGCAATGCAGTATAGTACAGAAATAGCCCACATTTTAAAAACTTCATCCCATTAAGATGGCTTATAAAACACGGAGCGAAAAAGGAAATAAGAAATCTCCAGGTTAGGTAACTCTATTTAAATCGTGGGTCTAGAACAAGTTCCACTTCCATTAAATTAATAAATAATCACACCTCGGGAATATTTCACAGGCCTTCAGACATCACCCCGGGAGTCCAAGTGCAAATATTGCTACCCACTCATTTCAATATACTTTAGCTCTACGACTCTTATTTTCAAAGGAAAATAAAAGCATTCTAACATCCCTACTTTCTCATTCTTGCCCAGGTGCGATTAATGATTTTCAGGAAGCAGAGATTTGACCCTCGTCTACTGTTTTTGCAAAAAGATCTTGGGGTGATTCTCCCGGAGTCGGTGAAGTCAGCTCGACGACGCCTGGATGGAGGCGTGACACGGGCTGGGGAGGTAGCAGAATCTGTTGCGAATAGCAGCAGGTTCTGAGGCGCTGGAGAACCCACGTGTGCCGGGGCTGAAGAACTTTTCTGCCACGTCTCCCGGAAGGAATGCCTCACTTTTAAATAGGGGACTAGCTGGGGCGAGGGGTGGGACGGGAAGTGGGCGGTAAAAACGGAGAAGTGGGCGGCAGAGAAGGTTCAAGCCCTTCATAGGTATGTGTCTACCTGTGCTCTTCTACCTTATATTCTCGCCCCTGGTCAACTTTATTATTTTTCCCTCTAATTGGAGGACTTAAGCGACCGGATGCTGAGCATCACATAGGCTCAGCCTGGAACAAAGAAAACCGAGTTCCTAATACTGTATCTCTCCCGTCGGAGAGATCACGTGTCCTGCTTTCGCTGGAATGCACTCTTCTCGCCCACGCTATAAAATCTCGATTGTGCTTAGAAATTTTGCCAAGGTTAAAATGCGATCACATACGAAATTGTTTTTCATCTATCAAGACAGCCACATTTCATCGTAGACAGGTACACATATTTACGTACTGACCCAGTTACCACTGCAGGTAAACTCAATGTGTTTAAAGTGTGGTGGGAAAGTAATCAAAAAGAGCAGGTGGAGGACCTTTATGCCTCCCTGACCACCCCCCCCCCACCCCCCCCCCCCCCCCGCATCATTTCTAATCCCTTTTGAAGGAGAACTTCGAAAGGAACGTGGGAGTCGCAGATGGTTCCTTTCTGAAGCCGATTCCCGGGAGTTGTGAAAGTGACCCCTTCCCTTTTCTGCCTGGCGCTGCGCCCTTTCGCCCAGCCCGCTCGCTTTGTGACTTGGTGGGGAGGAGACAGTGAGGGAGAGGGCGGAGGCGGGTCCTTTATTCAGCTCTGATGGCCAAGAAGTAGTATAATGAAGCAGTTTTGCAGCCATCGCCGTTATGAAGTCACACTATTTTTAAAGGCATTTTGTTCAACCCTTATCCCCTCACCCGCATGCTTGACTCGGCAAACAGTAAGACTAGAGACCTTCGGGAACCAATCTAATTGTCCGTGAGCCAGGATGCCATGATTACCGTAATGTTAATGTGCTCCCCTCTCTTTCATCTTAGGATCCGAAACTAGTCCTGCATCCTTAATGAGTCTGAGAGAAGGATGCAAGATGCTGAAGGGGCCCCAGCTCTGGGACTGGGAATAGTGCAGGTTCACCAGCTTCAACACAAAGGAGATGTGTGGGCAGGAGTTCTCTGGCTTAGGGGGAGAGAGGTATCGTTCTCCCTGACTCTCTGGAAAAGCTTTCACTCCATTGCTCCCCCACTTCTTTCTGTCCTCCAATCTGTCATACTCCTCTTCTCCTCCATCCTCCAAACCCCACCCTTTCCCTTCAATCCCCAAGGCATAAAATCTTCTAATTGCATTTTCCAAACAAACGGACATCAAACAGTAATGCTACACCGTCCAAGATAAAGGAACAAATGCGACCTGCCACAAGTGTGTTTGTGTGTGTGTGTGTGTGTGTGTGTGTGTGAAAGAGAAAGATAGCGAGAGACGATCAAATGGGCGCTTCATCCTCCAGACACCTCCGAGAAAAAGCTCACTGAAGATACCCAAGATAATAAAGAGGAGCTAAGACTACCTCAGCTCGATCAATGGTCCCAGTACCGGCGCCCAACACTCGCTCTTTACCTTTCCTTTTCGCAGTATGTAACCCTTTAGGGTCTCCCGCCAGCCCAGGCCACTCGGTGCTCCCATGCACCCACACAGCTAGCACCCATTTCCAAATGCTCCGCAACCTACCACATCCCCGCCGCCTCCGCGGGCCACCTCGCGAGCAGCTCCCTTGAGAGCGCTGAAGGCTCTTGTCCTCCCACCCCCGCCCCCCTCCCCGCGGACGCTTGTGTCCCACACCTCGGGCTCTCACTGTCACCGAGGCCACAAACGGCGACCCCCCCCCCCCCGCAACCCTCCTCCCCGACACGAAACAAGAGTGTGCTACTCACATCGCCGGGAGAAACTGCCCATGAGGTTTCGGAGAGAGTGAATCGTGCAGCTGCCAACGCTTATTCCTTAAAGTGTTTGGGGGTCCGCAGTGGAGTGGGCACGAGGGTCCTCGCAGGAAGAGAGGAGGGGTGGAGTAGGTGGAAGAAGACCAGGAGAAAGGGGATTCCAGGCAGGTGCCGCGTTAGACCATGATGCTGGTGCCCTTCAGGTGGACCGCTGGAGAGGTTCCGGCGGGAAGCGGCCGAGGGGAAGCCCAAAGCGCTGCCCGGGAAGGCAGGAGCGCATTCACTCCCTTGCCTCCGCCTGCCCTGCGCGCCGCGCTAGCGACCGCAGCGGCGGCGGCCGCGGCGGTGGCGGAGGCGAAGCTCCCTCCCCACCCCCAGAAGGCTCCACAGACAATAAATTCCAGGCGGAGAAAAGACGAGCAGAAAAGGCGAATCTTGCACCCAACTCTAACACACCCTGCCTGCTGCTGGGCGAGAATCCCCGGGGACCCGGCGCAGCCGCGGCTCTGAGGAGCCAAGCGCTCCCGGGTCTGCAGGCGACGGCGGCGGTCTTTGTAGGTGGCTGCAGGTACCTTCGGCGAGAACCCGCTTCCCAGAGACTGGGTGTCGGTGGCTTCAAGCCCGGGGTTCGCCCGGAGTGGGGGTCCTCCTGCGTGCAGTGGCTCGGCGCACAGGTGCCAGGCTTGGCAGGCGAGGAGACGCTGCTCGTGGCTCTTGGCTGTGTCTCCCCGCTCTCCCCGCCCCCTCTCTTTTTTCCCACCCCCTTTTCCGACGACACCAGCTGCAGCTGCTTCAAAGTGTGAAAAATGTCAAGGAGATTTTCCAGCGATAAGAGGGGGTGCCCACTTTCACAGCCCTCGGCCCCTTTTTGAGATCCTCCCCTGCCCCTCTGACCTCTACTTGGGCTCCCCCAAATTGTGAGAAGAAAAATCCCAGTCCGGCGGAGAACTGAAATGCTCGCCTCCTCCGGGCTTGGTCACAAGCTGCTTTTAGAGAACGGGACAAAAGGCCGAGCTCTCTGGGTTCCTTTCGTCGCCCACGGTGCCCCAGGCAGGTGCTCGAGGCACCGTGCCTGGCAGCGCTCCGCCACCGGCTCCTCCTGCTGCCGGACCGGCCCGTGGCGCTGGAGTGGCGCGGCGCGGCGTCCTGCAGCGCGGACGACTCCGCGGCTGTAGCGGCTCCGGGCCTCTGCGCCTCCCTGAGCGCCCCTGCACCCGCACCAGCTCAGTGACGCTGCGCTCGTGGCTCCGCAGGCTGCTGCTCCTGCTATCTCAGCAAAGAGGCGGCCGGGAGCGCCTCCTCGGGGTTTCCTCCCCCGCCCGCCTTTTCTGCTGCAGGTTGTTGGCTGCCAAGGAGAAAAGTCTCTGCTTGCGGGTCGGTCACTTCATATCAGTCAAGCCAGCGACCTTTGTGCCTGCTCTGACAGTCCCTTCTCCTTCTGGGGCCGCGGATGCTAGCCCGAGAGTGCGCAAAAAGAGAAGGGGTTTCCCAACTACCCTTCATGGTTTCACTGCCACTCCTCTTGCTGTGAACACACACACTCTCACTCACACACACTCATATGCTCTACATAAAGGCACACAGAGACACTTCATTCTCACATACTTCTCTTCAAACTCTTATAAGCAGCAATATGTTAAGAAACATAGATGAAGCTAGTACTGCATTTAGACTTTTATTCTCAACACCCATCTGATGAATTCTTTCTTTGACCCTGGATTTATTGTGTTGGAATCATTCTTTTGTGAAATATAGGCGATAGGATTTGTTTGTTTGTTTCCTCCTTATGGAAGAGAAAGAATCTCCCTTTCTTAATACAGTCAGACCACATGGCATTCAATTGCCATTCTGGGTGGATGTAAGCTCACAGCCTGCTAAAAAGAAAATGCACTTGCTTATATTCTTAGATTTACAATGCTAAAATCTTCAAGGTCAAAAACCTTTCTGGCTGCTAGGGATTATCTAGGAAGAGATTTTGCAGATTATAGATTTAATTTGCATAGCATCAAGAATGAGGATTATTTCCCACATTACCTGAGGCATGAAGATGGGCTGATTTATAAGGACAACTTCCCAGTATTTCGTATCATTTGCATGTGGAAGGGAAAATATATTTTAAAAAGTCTTATCGTTTTTTACAATGTATTATAAAACACAACGGGGGGGGGGGGCGGGGAAACAGTCCTGAAATGGCAAGGAGATTAAAAAGAAATTGTTATAGTGATATATTTTTGAGCTGACCTCTGTGGAGCTCTGGGTTTTTTTGTTTTGTTTTGTTTTGTCTTTTTTTTACCAGTAGTTTTGTCCTTGCAAATATATTATCACATCTCAGTGTCTCAGCTGGATGGAGTGAGATGAAAAATTTTAGATACTGATTGAAAATATAAAAAACTAACCTCACACAACAATTATACAATTGTAGCAATCTTTTATAAACTTCCAGTTCTTTTAAATATAGTTTACATAGAATTTTCACTTTTCTAAAACTACCTGGTGGATAATGTTATCTACACTTATAGGAAGGGCACAAAGGTTCAACCAGAAAGGTACCCAGCTGCCTTGTATTTGAACTCAGAATTTCTTATTTTAACTCCAGGATTCATTTCCTCATATCAAAATATTTGAGAAAAGGTCTTCTACTTAAAATCATAATTAATTATAAGTAACTGCAGATCCTTACAAACAGGCAACATACCTACCAATGAAGTCACCTCCCATGTGTTAAATGGAACTGTTTTCCTAAGTCACGACAAACTTGTGAGGAAATGCCTTTCCAATGGGGAGAGATATTTTTTGCAACTCCAAATTAAAAATTGGTGATGTCCTTATAATATATTTCAAACTATATGTCCTCTTTTTCCCTTTATTTTATGTTAGAACCTTGATTTCAGGTCATAAAAACTCAAATGGATAAAAGATTTAAACTATGTACAGATGTGATGTAGTGCCTATGGTTTTTAACAACATGATTTTAGCATTTAAAAAAAGGAAAAGAAGGAAGTAGAATATTTTCTGTGGAATAGGCTTTGGATACAATGGTCCAATTTTTTTTTTTTTTTTTCCCCTAAGATTCATGAATCTGGAACAAAATGTGGCTACCTTCACTATTTAAACAATGAGGCATACTGAAGAGATTTCAGTGCTTTCATAGAATTATGGAACTATTGAAATGCAAATGTAGATGCTGTCTTTAAACTCCAAGTTGCCCTGTCATCAACCCTCTGGAAATGCAGATGACTGAAAGTTGGAGAAAGAGGAATGAATATCCTCAGGCTGTCATTCAAGCAGAGGTCTAACACTAAAAATAGCAACAACTTCAAAAGTTAGACCAAGGAAGTTTTAACAGATTAGCTATTCAGACTATATCTATGAATGGCTAGACATTACCCTCCATAAAATTTTGTAAATTGTTCATCAATGCCTTTGACCCACACTACTACAATTATTGAAATGATCAATCTATTCCCAAGTCTAAATTACCTGAAAATAAAAGACATGTGGTGATATTAAACAATCAGGTGCCAACTATCTTCCTAATGTTTCTCTTTGGAGGCCTGAAATGTCACCCTCTCTTAAATATTTCCTCTCTGGCAATTCCTGATTAAAGTAAAACTACTTAGGGAAAGCACAGCACTTTTTGCTTTACCAACTGTTAATATCTCAGATACTGGTTAGAGACTGGTCCTTGGGGAAATAGAAAAACATTGTTAAAAGTTGATGTATGGAAATACAGATCTGAAAAGCTCATTGCTGGTAGAGTTTGGTAGGACAGGATCTTTATCAGTGGGGTACTAGAAGGGTAGGGAATGCTGCATTGTTGTGGTCAATCTTTGAAAAGCCTGGAGAAGCTCTGAATAGGAAGTAGGAATCAGTAAGATTCTTTTTCTTAGAAAGAATTTGTTAGATGGCCTTTACTGTGAAACTAATTTTCCAGATTAACAACCTGTCTAGCTAAAGAGAATGCTTCTTTATTGTGTTTTTAATTTATCTAGATTTTTTTTTAATTTTTAAACCTTAATTTGCACACTTAAGATACACAAAATACAATGAACACGGATGTACTCACCACACACCTTAAGAAGGAAAGATTGAAGTTTCCTCTCCCACTCTTCTATTTCTGCTCCCCTCATCCCACAGAGGTAATCTCATTCTTAAATTATGTGTTAATTAATTAATATGTCATCATTTAACTAATTTCATGCACTTTTACTGCCAACAACATTTTTGCATCGCTTTGGAAATTTAACCCTTACACAAATGACATAATGGAATATGTATTCTTTTGCAACTTGCTTATGATTTTTAAAAACACATTATGTATCTAAGACTAATTGATATTCATGTGTGTCACTCTGGTTCACTAATTTTTACTGCTGCATGATAGTAGATTGTATGAATTTATCATGTTCACATTCTGATGACAAGTTTTGCTTTTATAATAATGCTGTTGTGAAAGTGTTTGTATCTTTTTATGTATGAGTATAAAAGTTTTTCCAGTTCATATAGCACTTGGGAGTAGATTTCTTGGGTTGTAGAATATATTCAATATTAAATTCTTTTCAGTTTACATTTCTATTATGATTTATGAGAGTTCCACTTGAACCATATCTTGGCAGTTCTTGGAATTATCAGACAATTTCATGTTGCGCAATCTTAGAAATATGAAATGGTATTTCATTATGGTTTAAATGCATAATTCCCTGATTACTTATGAGATTATTTTTAATAGGTTTATTGATAATTCACATTTCCAATATTAATTTCTTGGTTTATATATATTTCACTCATTTTTCAATTTGGGTTTTCTTAGGTGTGTGTGTCCTGTATTATAATCCTTTGTCATTTTTTTTTTTAAAGATTTTATTTATTTATTTATTTGACAGACAGAGATCACAAGTAGGCAGAGAGGCAGGCAGAGAGAGAGAGGAGGAAGCAAGGTCCCTGCAGAGCAGAGAGCCCGATGTGGGGCTCGATCCCAGGACCCTGGGATCATGACCTGAGCGGAAGGCAGAGGCTTTAACCCACTGAGCCACCCAGGCGCCCCTGTCAATTATTTTTTAATCTTTAGTTTTCACTGTTAATATGGTGTTTTTATGAAAAGAAGTTTTAATTTAAGATAATCAACTTTATCAGTACTTTCCTTTATGATATGTGCTTTGCTTTAATTTAAAAAGAAAAAAAAAACACCTTTGCTATCCCAACATTAAAAATATATTTTCCTCTATTTATTCTAAAAGCTTTATAATTTTAATTTTTTACATTTCAGACTTCAAAGATTCTGAAATCATGCATATGGTGTGAGGTAAGGGATCAATTTTTGTTTGTTTCCATTTTTTTTTTCTCATAAAAATCTGATGCCTCCTCTGTCATAGTCCAGCTCATTGGTCAATTTTTGGTCTATGCATTTGGTTCCCCCTGTCTTGTTAAACTGTCTCAACTGGAAACTGCTCTAAATTCCTTCTATGTTTATATATAGGAAGAACATGGCATTTCATCTTGTTCTTCAAAATGTCTTTGAGTTTTCTTCATCCCTTCTCTTTGGGCTATTGATTTGTAAGCATGGTGTGGATCCATGATAGCTTCTTTAATTTTTTTCACACCAGAGATCTCTTGAAAACAGACTGTGAAAGCATAAGACCTTGTTCTGTCTAGTACTATATCCAATTGGCAATTCTCTCTCACAAGCAGTTCCAACTAAATTTATCATGCCAG